AATTAAAAAAGACATAGTTTGTGAGAATAGAATGTGTGACATAAAAAGATAAAGTTTGACTAAAATTGGTCATAAATAATTTTTCATATTTGACATCAGATTCAGACCTTCTCATTTGGGACCAACTAAACGTCATTAGTTTTCTACTGAGAATCCAATGTCAAGAAGATTTTCCGCTCAAGAGGAGTAACGATAACAAAATGTTTAAGATGGCCACTGTTGTGGCCATATTGGACATTTCATTAGCAACATTTTCACTTGGGACCAACTAGACATCATGCAAAACCTGGTAGTGAAAAGCAGCATGTTTATATCTCAATGAATTCATGAGCAGTAACAACAACACGATTTTCAAAATGGTCCATGTGGCGGCCATAATCGATGTCCGAGCGTCACCATTTTCATTTAGAACAGATTAAAACAAAAGGTTATTCCAATTAATTATACATCCCTTTCAAGGAATCTGGTCAAAGTTACTTCATAACATTTCTCGTAGTAGTGTTGCAAACAAGCACGGGCTTTGGTGAGAGAAACATGCCCACGAAAAAACATTTTTATTGTGAGGGGAGTCCAGAATAAAGCTGTTGTTTGATGTTTCTCTTTTCTGAGAATGTGAAAAAATTTATTCATATCCCGACTGATTTCTTGAAAAATAAAATTTGTATTGCTTGATTAACTTTAGTTGATTACTATGGGCAGGAGTCTGGACTTACCCCCCCCCTCTCTCTCTCTCTCTCTCTCACACACACACACACACACTAATTTGTAGGTATGCATATTTACCTTGGTTTGAGTTGTATGTAAAGCCTTGATTCTAACGGTAGAAGTTTCTATAAACAAATTTTGTTTACCGTTTGATCGAGATTTCCATTAAGATGACCTTCATCCTGGTCCTCAAATTGTGTCTTAGGTTTTTATATTAAGAGTTGATTATATAAGCATCACTTACTCCTATCGTAACACAATTCTTTAAAGGAATCAGTTAGTTGTGTTTAGTAAATATTTAGAGAATTTATTTATTTACCGTATTTGCTGGAATTACAAATGTGCTCAATAAAATTTTCTGACTAGATCAATAGTTTGTGATCACTGTATAATGGTTTAGATACGTTTTGGATCAATCAAGATACTTAGCCCTAGGGAACATCGCACATTCAACGTTGGCATTCATTCGGAACACCAGTAGAATTCATTGGGAATACTCTATACTTTTGGATTTGTGAATGAACATTTAGGACTATTTAAGATTTAATTTACAATACTGCTCATTTTAAATGTATGCTTTGTATTCTGTGGAAATATTTTGTTGAATTTTGCAAAAATTGATGGTTTTCGCTATTTTCTGTTACTTAATTTAAGGCCATCTAATTGAACAGCAAGTGACAGCAGGAAACACGGTAACGGACTTTTCATTATAACAGCTACTTTTCTGTAGTTGCCTTTTGTGCGGGTAGTGTCGAGCGCATTAAATAGAAACAACCTACCATGTCAAGACCAAAATATCTGGAGATCAGACGATACGATAGTTTGTATTGTTGTCTTTGAGATTGTCTTTGCTACAGGTACTTATCTCATTGCACCTTGTCTGATTAATTACGATACATGTTTTCGTGTAATTGTCCGTTCATGTCGACAAATAAGACACGTTATATTTTTCATTCATAAGGAAATAATGTTTTCGAGGGATTGTTTCAAACACAAGGAAACTGGATTAAGAAAATTACATACAGAAACCTAAGAGTAAATGTTTTCTCTACGTCAAAACGTGGTCCGGATAAGTGCACGGTAATACAAAAAGCTTTGTTACCAATTTCAATAATTAACCGAGTCAGCTGATAAAGGCACAAGACAGCTCACTGCATCCAGCCGATACTTGCCTCAATGGGAATTATGCGCACATGAGTTATAACACCAACTTAGTATATACGTCTTGGGCATGGCCTCAAACGCACTTGATAATGTAAAATACAATAACGATTACCAGAAAATCTGTCATTCAGCTGAAGGACCTTTCAAAATAACCACACCATTTGATCTCCGGAGTCAACCTTTCTTGCAATTTAGCGCAGCGGTTCAATTTCAGATTAGTTAAAAGTTGGGGTGTGTGTGTGTGTGACTGAGGTGGGATGGGCTATTAGCCCTGTCTGGCTTCTAACTGCATATTATATTGTTCGGAGGGAGGGGGAGAGAGAGAGAGAGAGACAGAGAGAGAAAGAGAGTAAGACAGAAGACAGACACAGTGAGAGAGACAGGCAGAGAGAGAGAGAGACAGAGACAGAGAGAGAGAAAGAGAAAGAGACAGACAGAGAGAGAGAGACAGAGACAGAGAGAGACAGAGACAGAGAGAGAGACAGAGAGAGAGAGACAGAGAGAGAGAGAGAGACAGAGACAGAGAGAGAGAGAGAGAGAGAGAGAGAGACAGAGAGAGAGAGAGACAGAGACAGAGAGAGAGAGAGACAGAGAGAGAGAGACAGAGACAGAGAGAGAGAGAGAGAGAGAGAGAGAGAGAGAGAGAGAGAGAGAGAGAGAGAGAGAGAGAGAGAGAGAGAGAGAGAGAACTTTTTCAAATCGAACATGTGCTACTTTTCTGCACACACTGCATATAAAAGCCATTTTAGTCAGTCCCGAAAAACGGGAAAGACCGTTGGCAGCATTTAATGAAAACAAAATAATACCATCATGCCTTTTGGTAATAACAATGAGAACAATGTCAATAACAAAGATTGTGATGAAACTCGCCATAATCTATATTCAAATCTGACGATGTAAATTATGCACTTATCACTATCAATACATGTATCATCATAAGTGGACTCATATGAAATTCTGTACCACAACTACAGTAAAATGCTATGAAATTTTCCTCGGTCGATTTCTTTTTTAAAAGACTTTCCATATGCAAAGTTACGAGGTTGAAACTAATATCGATTATCTTTCGGGTTTTCTCAAAATAAGAGATTGAGTTGAGATATCAATAATCAGGTTTTTTTAAACGCTCTGAGTTTATCGTTACGTAAATATTTAAACTGTCTAGACACTGTTTGAACTGAAACGTAACATTTTTAGTATCTAGGTGAAACGCCCGTTGATGTTGTTGTTGTTTGGGTTTGCCGCCATTTTTCAGAACAAGGGAGGCTATAAGTGGCAGGCTTTGGTGGTCAGTATAACAGGTGGAAGGAGAACCCGGGAAAATTCCGGTAAAAACTACCGATCCACGGGAGGAAAGCTACTGGCAAGTTTTTTTCACATACCCACGGAGACGCAAACCAGCGCAGAGAGGAGTGAGATGGCACTGATCGGTACAGGCGAGCGCATAGAGCACTCGGCCACCACCAGTGGCCCCAGGTGAAACGCCTGCAGGTTCCCTCTACACTGAATGAAAAATGCGGCGTACAACTAATATACTCTTCTTATTACACTGTGTTAGAGCGATATTAAAATCAAAATCCTAAAATGGTTGCCTGAAGTTTTATCTACATTACTATGCTGATTGTATCTGAGCTTAACCTGTCCCTTAGTGGTGTATGAATGTTGTTATGTGCTAAGAACTCTCATTTCACAGTCGTCTGTCTAAAGAGACTTACATAGGTAAGGCAGCTTGGGAAACCGTTCTTTATAGCTGCTTTGACAATTGTCCAGAACATGCAGGTCTAATCTTTTTGATACTTCTGCTCCAAAATTAAATATTCACTAACATCAGGTCTGCCAAAGTTTCGCTTCCTTGGATCAGTTTTTATTTATCTGAGCCATAATGCTGTAGTAGGGTATTAAATTAATTAATATCACCCGACAATCTGTTTAATCTGAGATATTTATTTCTTAATTTTGTCTTTATTATTCTGATTAATATTTTATCAGTTTATCTTAATCCTAAATACAGGCTTTTAAAATTCGTCGCACACGATCACGCAGGGTTAAATTGTTTATGATAGAAATGAAAACTGCACTCTACTTTAAAGTTGACGGTTGTTTAAAAAAGTCAACCTTTCGGTCTTTACTACATTTAATTTCGAAATGACGCTTAAATGGAAGTTGACTGGCATGCCGTCTTTATTTGTCTATCCAGCATGTACAAACAAACTCGTAGTTAACATCATTTTTGGGCCCAGAATCACTCGATTGATACCTCCCACTAACACTTTCCCGCTTCCAATCAATACTTCGTAACTTTTAAAATCATTGTAATCATCGCTATCATCAGCCAATATTCGCCGAAAGAAATTGTCGTCTGAAGACAAACCACGCTGGGAATCATCCATTTTAAGTTTTCTAGGTGGTCCGTGTTTTGAAAAAAAAAAAAATTTCCTTGCTGCAAGGTTCAAACTACGACATAATTCTTGTTCCAAGGCCCAATGTGCCATCAAATTAAGTTTAACAACCTTCCATGTCAAGCTGAAGAAACCAGATCTATAAATAGTTGTCTACCAGAAAAATGCAGATGTCGCAAAAGTCGCAAGGATACCACAATTGGCGTTACTTCTGTAGAGACAAGCACTTTACGGGTTAAATGGTTAAATAAAGTTCTATACTACGCAAAATACATTTTCTTACAATTGTAATCTATTTCCATACACGTGACGTAATAGGCATACCAAAGATACTACACAGGTGAGCGGTTTTACTGGCATACCGGTTTACCGCAGTATTTTTTTCCTCGGTGGTACGTACTACCTTACCTTTTTACTTAACCGGTACTTAGGTGTTTTCAATAGAAAGGAATGCATGGAAATTCTTCCGTAAGGCGATGTGTGATGTGATTTTTAACGTAGCTTTAACAATTTTTCAATCATATCGCTACGATGTCTGCAGTGTGGCAGTTTATAGTGATGCACTGGGACATCGTGCTGCAGATATGTGGGACATCGTGCTGCAGATATGTGGCATGATGTCCCACCCAGTCACATTATTCTGACAACAGGCCGACCAGTTTTAACTCCAACCTCTTAATGCTGAGCGTCAAGCGAGGCAGCTGTTAGTACCATTTTTGTAAGTCTTTGGTATGACTCGACCGGGAATCGAACCCACGACCTCCCGCATCAGAGGCGGACGCTCTAACCATTTGGCCACCGGAGCGGTAACCTTGACAAATTTAATATTAACATCATGTTTTCAACCTTCATGACAAAATAATTAAAAAGCATTTAATGCTATTTTATACAAACAAGTCAATCACAAATTAATTTGCAATTTTATATAAAATTTTTAAATCACGTTTCTGACGGAAGTCACTCATGCCAACGTGCTGACCAGATGGGATGTTGTTAGAGATATTCCGGCCAAATCCAACTTTCGAATTAAACAAGATGCAACACTTTGTTTAACGTGTAATGTCCTTGTCTAAAGTACATGTATTCCTTTCAAAGACTGTGAATCATTTTAAGCTTTCCTGGACAGAAGCTGTTTTCTCAAGTCCACTAAACAGTACTATCTCGTTTGTGGAGCAAGTGTGTTTTGTGTTAACTGGTTCCTTCTTATAAATATCATGCCCGAGTGTTGGAATACCACTCAAAATTTTCATTGCCCGTTTCAATAGTATAGCTATAAAATCGTGGGCTTCAGGTGTCCACACTTACGTTAAACCCACAATGTCCCGTCTCAAATATCTGCATAGTTACTAGTATAAGCCTAATCAACCCCAGTTTAGTAAACTTTTCGATTGCAGCTTATACCACGATCGACCCACGACCCCAGTTTAGTAAACTTTTCGATTGCTGCTTATACAGCGATTAACACGGGAGTAGCAAATTCCCCTACCTTAAGGAACGGACCATTATTGTTTACAAAGACATTTTCCTCGAAACAGGTACATGCACATTCCATCGACAGCCTTTTCAAATAAAGAATGTATCGTTTTCAATTTAGATTCTTTAATGTTATTTTGCAAACCACAAACGCCTACCTAGCAAAGTCTTTTGAAATTAACCATATCACCTAACATAAAAGATTTAACATTAACTAAGAAGTTATATATATCTGAATACAAATTAATATACATATATATAATACTTGAGGTATATTATCTGATAACATTTATTCAGGTAACTTTACTAGGCAGGCATACAGGTGTCATAAGTGAACCGCACCGGGTGATTAAGTGTCGGAAACTAGAGCAAACATTTTCTTTTTCCCCTTAGTCCAGATTATATCTCTCCATAAATCCTACGAATGAAGCAGTATTTAAGGGTCAAATACTAAGTGTTCATCGCTCCCGTTAAAGGAGAAGAAATTCCATTACCACAGTCGGACAATACATTAAAAGGAACCTATTTTGGACTACTGGTCAATTTAAATAACATACCTCCAATTTATACCGAGCCCACCTGAAACTAAATGATTGCTATTGATGATGTAAACAACGTGAGGTTGCAAGCTATATCGTTGTTACGTAGGAATATTAGGAAGATGAAAATACAACAAAAATTAACTACGTTAAACAAGAAAACACAAGGTTACATAAAATGCAATTGAGAATTTAATAATTTTACACGAAAATCTCACGAAACTTTATTTCCCCCTATTCTAATATATTGTTTTAAGTTGACATAGAGTTAAATTGTTATTGCAACTCAACAATTGCACTTGATAACTCAGCAATAACATTACAACGTACCTCCAGTTGACACTGTAAATTTGAATCCAGTGAATAAAATATTCGTTTTTAATAATCGGAAATACCCCCCACCCCCACCCCCCCATATATATATATATATATATATATATATATATATATATATATATATATATATATATATATATATATATATATAGTCTGAAATGTACATATATTTTTGATGGCATATATTAATAGTCTAAAATATGCATATAATTATGATGTTATATAGCAATGGCCAGAAATGTACCTATATTTTTAATAGCTTAAAGTAATAGCAATGTGCATATACTGTTGATAGCTTATATTAACATTCAGAAATGTACCAATAGTTTTAACAGTTTATAGCAAGTCAGAAATGTACCTCTTTTTAACAGTTTTAATGAACGGTCAGAAATGTACCTATATTATTGGTAGTTTATATTAACGGTCACAAATATACATATACTCTAAGTACTTTCAAGTTTCAGATTCTGTTTATAAGGAGTATAAACAGTAACATCCTTTTTGGATCTTCTCGAATACGGTCACAGCAATTTAATGTCAAGTTTTCTGTGTGTATATGTGGTGGCGGTGGGTTTACAGTCTTTAGTTTCATCGAGTGCATTATTTACACGTAGTTGACATAACTACCTGAATCGCAGTTTTGCTAGGTTAAATTTTTTTTACTCTAAATTTCTTATTTCTTGCTCGGTATTTTGTAGTTGTCTGGTGTTGTGTATACGAGTGAGTGATGAAGTTGTTTTCGTTTTACTTTAATTGCATGTCTTATCGTATATAAAATAGAGAAAATCGATAAATTTTAAAATCAGACAGCCTGACGGACTCCCGGGAAATAAACCGGTAGCTCCGCTTGAATTCGAACGCTTCAGGATGTGAAACTGTTAATATCAAAACGTACCCCCCCCCAAAAAAAACTTATAACATTATTTCATTCTCTTTTGTTAAAGTTATTTATCTTTTGAGGAAACAAATGTTCAATGAAGTAATGAAGTCATGTAGAATTTGCTCGGCTACCAGAATTTGATTGGTAGTTCAGACAATATTCTTGTAAAGCATAGTTCAAGGGCATAAAAACTAAACGTACCAGACGGCATATCACCGAGCGTACGAGTTCCGAGATCTTGTCAGCAAGAATTTTGATTTCATAACCTAATCTACCGTTTGCAGACGGTTCCATTAATCATAGTATTCCAGCAATGTTTTTAGCATAGAAGTGCACGAAATCTTAGGAATGTGGCCGTCTAAGGAATGTCGAAAATCGTTTTACGAGCACAAACGCCTGAAGCGCGCCATTACTGATTGATGACCTATACTCGGCCACAACGTTAGAAACGAGATCATTTCAAAGGAACATGGAATGAGATTGGTGCACGTATTCCGATATTTTTCTAATTATGTCTTCTCATTTTATGTAGTTCTTCAGAATAATTATTAATATTAAAAATAAATTCGTTAGTAACTTCAGTTCTTGTTACCACTGCCAATCCATAATTCTAAGTCCAAGCCCTGTTTCAGGCAGGTGAATACAACATTTGCTTCACTGTAAACTTGTACGGTCCATCATGTGTGAAAATCTAAAGTCCAGTAATGTCTGAGTTATTTATTTTAAAGAAGCCCAGAAAATCGCTGTTTTCGGACCGCACTTATTATCTAAACTAAAAGGAATAATTTAATTCGTTTCTTAAATTTTATTTTGCAAGAAGCAATGAAGTAATATTTTGTACATCCAAATCAACTTCTCTGTATCTAATTATACCAACGCAAATGACACGTACTCGAGCACTTTAACCTTTGTACATTTTTATAAAGAAAACTGACGATGAGACGTGATCGCTCGATAACGCTTGAGTCATAACAGCGTACTTTCTTGATAAAGACTTCATATTTCCATTAACTCCCATTGATGAACCAGATCTCCGATATTCTCTAGCCCCCCCCCCGCCTCCATTCAAGAAAATAGGCGCGTAGAATATACTAATATGCTATCAATAATTAAGCAATAATTACATGTACTCCCAGTCAGAGACGTGCATAGGTCTGCTTTTTGGGTATGTTAACTGTTTATTACTGTGTACCTATATCAGTCATTAATGTACTATATATATTCTACAAGCTTGTATTATAATTATACATGTAACTTCGGTTATGATGCTATTAAAAAAATCCCTTTTCAAACAAGTTTCCCCCGACATTTACAAAAATGGCCAAAGGAAAAAGGTAAACCCCTTACTGTACATCTATAAAACCACTGACGTCCTTAAAAAATGCGCGTGCGTGATTTGGATTTTTAACGTAGCTTTAACAATTTTTCAGTCATATCGCTACGATGTCTGCAGCGTAGCAGTTTATAGTGAAGTCTATCACTAAGGCATCATGCCGCAGATACTTAGCACGATGTCCCACCCAGTCACATTATCCTGACACCAGGCCCACCAGTCCTAACACCAACCCTTTAATGCTGAGCGCCATGCGAGGCAGCTGTAGATTACCAATTTTATAAGTCTTTGGTATGACTCAGCCGGAGTTCGAACCCACAACCTCCCACATCCGAGGCGGAGGCCCTAACCACTATAGGCCACCGAAGCGGTCTTTAAAAATGCTGTACATTCCTTGTATATGTTTAACTGAAATGGATAAGTTTTATATCTACTCCAGCACTTCTCAATTTTCTTTTTTTCCATTAATTCTTCCAAAAAACACAAAACAAGCCAGAGGAAAATTTCAGACCTTTTTGTTCATTAACTAAACACGTAAATAACCCACACGATTTCGACGATTCTCCTCAGCAGTATTAGAGCAGAAGGGATGGCATGCGTCGTCTTAAAACTTTTCCAAAAGGAACGGTTGAGGAGAATGCAAAACGTCAATGTTCATCTACACCGATCACTTTAATTTTCGCATAATTTCCACTATAATTCAGCTTTGGAGAAACTAATACTTGTTTTTGGTCATGGGCTGATAGACAGTCAGAAAGACATATTCTGTGTTAAACTCGTTTGTGACTTCCCTCTTCATCTATTAAAAAAATATTTCTAATTTGAATGGTAGAACAGCTGTAACTTGATTGGCAGAACAGTTCTAACTTGAATGTTAAAATAATTTTATCTTAAATGGTAGAAAAGTTCTAACCGTATTTCTAACCTAACTGGTAGAACAGTTCTAAGATGAATGGTAGAATATTTTTTAACTTGAATGATATAACAATATTATCTTGAATGATAGAACAGTTCTAACCTGAATTGTATAATAGTTCTAACTTGAATTGTAGAACATTTTTAACTTGAATGGTAGAACAGTTCTAACCAGAATCGCATAACAATTTTAACTTGAATGGAATACCAGTTTTAACTTGAAATGTACAACAGCTCTAATTTGATGGTAGAACAGTTCTAACTTGAACGGTAGGTGTCAGCAGTCACAAACACATGTTCAAGGTGCGGACATATTGTAGAATGCGGAACCTACATGTTTAGATCTTCACGTGAAGTGTGTTTCGCAAGGTAGGAAAAGGGACATATATAGCCGGTTATATATAGGTTATATATAGGTCTCTGGTAGAAATACACTTATATATGTAGGTGGAGAAGTGTAGGTTCAATGGCTAAGGCGTTGAACTTTTGACCAGAAGTATACTACGTTCTCAATATGCTACTGGTTACTTTGTGTATCCAACGGTAGAGCACTTATATTACCTTGAATTGGTACGATATAAATTAAAGTGTTGCTGTGCCGATAAAATGAATAAACTACGCACAGTAGTTTGCAGTTTTGATCATGCCATTATATATGCCATTATATATATATATATATATATATATATATATATATATATATATATATATATATATATATATATATATATATATATATATATGACTTAGCATTCCCATCATATCATGAATGAACAATAGATTTTCTTTGTTTAAATCGTTAATTTGTGAAATAATAATTTTCCTTGTGTATATTCCTACTTTTGTTAGACAAAGTGAACAATCCTGGCCACAGTAAGCGCTCAAGTCCCATAAAGTTTCATCATTAACAAATATACGGTGAAGACTGGCCGCTGTGAATACATAAATAATCCTTCTATTGATATGCAACAAGTAACCATTTGCTAAAAAAAAAATATTTCTGCTAGATATTTACTATTTTATTTTCCTGAATTTGTTACGTGTCATATTGAAACACGCCAGCTTCATGTCAAATTTCACGTTATTCAATGTGTATATTTTTTATATATTAACACATTTTAACATTTTATTCTGCGTACTTTTACACATGAACTATTTCATTTGATGTCGCAGTGTTAAGTATCATACAGGTAAAATGTTTTGCTTTTGTTTGGTGTTTTCACCGTAGAAATCCTAATGAAGCAGAATTCAATTTGCCACTGCTGCTGTTTGCGTATTATGAGTCAGTCGATTTCCCATTTTGATCTATCAAGACCTTCTTGTCCGGATATATTCTAGTTAACCACGGCTAAACCGTGCAAGGTCGTCAAGGGATCAGTCACTAAACGCGATACTGATCAATGAGGTCAAGCGATCCCTCCAGTTTTCGATCCAATGGGTGATCACCATCCCACAAATCAAACGCATAGACAAAAAGAGAGAGAGAGAGAGAGAGAGAGAGAGAGAGAGAGAGAGAGAGAGAGAGAGAGAGAGAGAGAGAGAGAGAGAGAGAGAGAGAGAGAGAGAGAGAGAGAGATATTTAACAAACAGATTTAAAAAATGATTTTTTTAAAAAAAAAAAAAATCTAAGAAAACCTAGATCACGCCTGGAAAATTTCGAAATCGATTCAGTGAATATACTGAAATATTATTAGTCGAAAATTGCTTACATTAATTAAGCATCCTGTACACGAACATCAACAACAAAAACCCATCCAACTGGGCAATCAAAACGCAGATTAACGTTGTTATAAAAAAATGCATGAACTTTTTTACCATTTACTCCCTGGATTAAATGTAGAAACTAGCATTCAGGGCAAAGCATACTAAATAATAAAGAAAAAAAAAAACGAAAATCAACCAATGTTATATTTCCAAGTAAATTTAGGTTGCTTTTTTTAATATGAAGAACGGCTCATCAGTATCAGCACAGATTTGGTGATTTATCGGACTATGTCTAATTTTGCTAAGCACTTTTTTGAGACAGTTTGTGCAAAATTGAAAGCTCTCTGTGCCAAGAGGCTTTTTGTCAAGTTGATAAAATCTACTTCAACAATTATTGGTTATTGTTCTTGTTTTTGTTGTTGTAGTAGGGTTTAACGCCATTTCTCAGCACAAGATACATGGCGGCCAGTATTAATGGTGGAGGAAGAACCCTGGAAAACCCAGGAAAGAACCACCGACCCACGAGAAGCTACTGGCAGGCTTTCTCACTTACCCACGTTAGCCGAGTCTGGACTCGAACTCATGCAGACAGGTGAGATGGCAGTGATCTGTAACGGTTAGCGCTTTAGACCACTCGGCCACTCAGGGCCCCCTAACAAGTATTGGAGAAGTCGGTAAAATGTTTGGGTTTTTTTTTGTACATTGCGTGACAATTACCAAAACTTGACGCATGGGCATCATTTTTATAAATCTGAAAGTTCCTCATGTCAGGATTCCTTCTATTGTGGAATTGGCAATGTCCAGTTGGCAGAGCATTAGACTCATAATCCAATAGTCGCGGGTTCGATAAAATTCCTTGAAATGATTAAATAATTTTAAACATTTGTCAGATTGGCATAATTAACAAAGACTCGAAGGGTATTTTGACAGCATGCCTTCTGTAAAGTTAAATTATATTAAAGGAATTGTTTCCTTCTATTGTAAATAACGGCTGCAATATTTAATAGAAATCATTCGTATAAAGTAGAAAAGTCTTCATTTTATCATATTTTATACCAAATATGATAAAATTTGGTTCCGTGAGTATGGTTAAGTACTTTAAAGATTTTCTATTTATAGTAGCGGGAGCCATATTTGATAGTGAAATAGTATGAATTCAATAAACGTGCAATCACTTTACGACAGAATGTGTATGTCACATTTAAATTCTGTTGAATCGTTGTTCAGAAGTATTTTTTAACGGTGTTTTTCTCTTGTTAGTAACAGCGACCACATATGATGGTTTTTCCACCTTTAGTACTTTTGTCCATACCTGGTGGCGGATCGGATTCATTTGTATAAATTTTAAATGTTTTCTTGACATAATTCTTTTTATCATAATGACCTAATAATGTTCAGCAGTGCTGATGAAATAGTTTAAAGTTTATTTCTTCCATGTTTGATAACGGAGACCAAAATTGATAGCCAATCAGCACAAAATTTCAACAAACGTCAAAGCCCGTTCTCCTATGATGCTTACTGTCAAATTCGGTCGAATTCTGTTCAGCGGTTTCTCAGAAGTCGTTTAAATGTTTCATATTTTCTTTTGATAACAGCAGCCATATTTGATTGACAGATTGGTATCGTTTGTAAAAAGCAAAAGCGATCTTCATATCATCAAGTTGGCTGTTAAGTTTGCTAAATTTCTATTCGGCTTCTTCAGAAAGAAGTTATTTCAAGTTTTAGTCTGTAACAGCCGCCATATGTTAAGGTCGATTAGCATCAGTCTTATAAACATGAAAGATTTTTTTTTTCTTCCCGGGAAATTTCGGTAGCTCAGTTAGTAGAGCTTCCGACTCGTAATCCAACTTTCGCGTTTTTTTTTTTTTTTTTTTTTTTTTTTTTTTTTTTTTTTTTTTAATACCAGATAGGGCCAGATTGAATGACTGCCTCTATTTAAACTGGAAAAGGCAGTTATCTCCCGATTTCTCAGCATGCTAAATCCAATAATGTGTAAAAGGTGCCGTTAAATCCACCCATCTTTCTGCGCGTGTGCTTTTTGATAAATTTGATTATATTATTGTCTGAGAAGCAAAATTTGGTCAAACCCCAAACCGATTGTGTTTGTGTGTGTGTGTGTGTGAATATATATATATATATATATATATATATATATATATATATATATATATATATATATATATATATATATATATATATATATATATATATATATATATATATATACACACACACGCGCGCGCAGATCCACTCGCTAAAACGGTGGAAGAAAAAGCTAGTGAACGTTTAATAAATTAATGAACCTGTTATATGTTTGTGCTAGTCTACTGATCGTGACAGTTAATATAAAAACATATCTAACCTCTATTTTAAAGCGCACCGCGTTTCGCAAGATTCGCTATACGGGTAACGATTAAATAAAACAGTAATGAAGTTTTCATAAATTATGCAAAGAACATGTTATATGTTTTGTGCCTGCCAAGAGAATGACAGTTAATACGAGACTGCTCATGTGTCCTTTGCTTCTCAGGTAATTAGGTTAATTTCGTCTTATTATGCAGATTTCACTGTTGTACGAACTGCTTAAAGACGAACGCATTTTTTCTTGTTGGATCTTATAAATCGGAGACATATTGCTGAATGGGAATGGTCAGAGGTCAAGGTCAGTATTTTAAGTCGAATAAAAATGTTAAATAGAGGAAACAAATCACTACTTCAAGAATTGCAATAACATTAGTATTACAAACGAC